CAATGACTGCCTTAGTAGCTGTAGTACGTTGGTCTGTCAATGTAAACCTAAGATCGATTGCCATTTCTCTGCAAGTGATCTCTCTTTCATCAGCCAGTTTCAACATAGTTGGCTCTGACTTACGAGATATGTCTGTGATTTTACAGAATCTAGAGGATATACATGAAATTTGCGAGCCCAGATCTAACAACGCTTTTATTTCATGTCCGTTAACTCGTATGTCGAGGATTACACGCTCGTCTTGAGGTGCGCCCTTTTGTCTTAGTGACAAGACCCGGTATGTTTGTCACTTAACTTCAACTTTGGGTTCACCTTGCACGTATGCTTGTGGTAACCTCCAGTTCCGGTACAGTCGGCACACTTCTCGATAAAGTGCTTACACTTTTCTGCGTGCCTTCCATTCCATCTGCCATTCGGCTCATGTTGGGTCATTCGCCAATTGCAATCAGTCTCACTACAGTTCTTGACCTCCCTATGCCTGGGCTTAGGGTTGCCTACCGGCGGTCCATTTCTGTTGGTCTGGTTACCCTTAGGGATGACATTGATCTTGTTGCCTTCAGAACCATTTATATTTTTGTTCTTATTGCCACCCTTGTCACCCCTTTTATGTATCTTCTGACCTCCATTAGTGGATTGAGAGTCTCGACCATTGCCTGATCCTCCAGTAAGATTGCCGTTGACCTTCTTCTGAGCATTAGTGACTTTCACCACGGAACTAGGTCGTTTGGTAAATGTCTGATCCACTCTCGAGTAAAATTCAGCCCAGGTTAAGTCCGCTAGCTTCATTATACCGTAGGTAGGTCCCTCGATGGAGATCTCTCGTACCTTGTCCGGGTAAGATTGATGCAAATCGGCGTACAGAATCTCTTGATATCTCCTATGTAGGTTTGACCAAAATATTGTCTGTACCCATAGTACACACATGGATAGTTTATCAGGTGACATCTCCTGAGTCTGGGTCCGTAACATGTGTGTGTCCAACTCTAATAAGTAGCGCGACACCAGCGTTCCTTCTTTCGGTGGTATCATGATCGATACAAGCAATTCCGGTCGAGGGTCCGTCGAAAATAAGTGGACGATCATCTCACTCTACTCTTTTCACGTTTTCAGCTTAGTGATCACTTGTTTCGCATTCTCTAACTTGTTATACTTGTATGAGGATGGCTTAAAGCTCTGCTGCGCTGCTTCGAACTATAGCTTCTTCCGTAGATTGGCTGTAAGCATAATCTGTCCAAATTCTTTCAAAGACCTAGATAACAACGCCAGACTGCTAGTATCGATTGGGTCCTTCCGTTTATCTATGTCTTTTAAAAACTTCTTGCCTTCCACAGCCTTCTCGGTCTGAATCACTCTTAGTTCTGAATCATTATTAGTTCTGAATCACTCTTAGTCTGGAGATGCGTAGCCATTGTCATATAAAGACTGGCGGTATCAATCCTACCTAGATCCATCGCTTCGAGTGAAGCTGCCTCGGCCTTGTTCATTTGGACAGTGAATTCAGCAATTTTCAAATCACTACTAGAGTGATCTGATCCCTTCTTTTATGATTACATCTGACCATACAGTCAGTTATCTGCCTCATCTTTGATCCATCGATCTGTTCAATGTTAATGAACGCTACGGATGAGACAGCATGTTTTGTCGTCTTTGGGATAGCCGCTGGGGGCGAACTGTCTCCCGATGACGACAATATTTTTTTTAGCTTTCACCTGATCAGGTTTAGGCTCTTCGGTCGGGTTGTTCTTCTGAAATACCTCTGGGGCACTCTGTGGATTTCCTTCCGGTAATGTATTTGGATTAGGCTCCTGTTCAGATGCCATTCGCGACATTGCTGTTGCGTCCAATCCAGGAGAAAATTGAGCTTCGGGTGATGAAGATCGGATTCTGCTTGCCTCTCCAGTGTCTGACAACATCCCAAAAGCCAATATGGTTTGATAGAGTGCCAAATGGTTTGATATCAAGTCGGGAAGATCTACCAGAAGATCCCGAATCGCGTACCAAATTAAGAATGCAAAACTTCCATCTCTCCTAGTTCCGAGTACCTCCGGCAGTATCTTTTGCAATTGACGGAAAAGTTTACGTGCTTGCTTACCTTCATCAGTTTTCATTAGTTTTAGCCGATTGTAATATTTTGAATCCCTAAACAAATCATACCCAAACTTTCTTACCGCTGCATTCATCACGTACCTCGGTGAGATGGTTCCATCTGGTTTGGTCTTCAATACGTCCGGAAAGTACGTTCCATGCGTATTTCGAAACACCCATGCCCTGTTGCTGTCGGATCAACTTTCGTTGACCCTCCTCCTGAATATCAATCTGTGCCTGGTATGAATTGCCCAGATCAAAGTTCTATCGCCAAGCCGGTCGGAGTGGTGTTTTGGGTATACACAGGAATTGTGAGGCAATCCTGCTGTCCGAATCGTCGTCCTGACGGTGAAATGTCTGGTCCACATCATCCGGACCTATATCCACGAAACGCAGTTGTTCTTCCGATACGTTGATTTGAGGTTGATCCAACAGGGCCGTTGGCTCATCCTCCGAGTCATTCTCCCCTGATTCATCATGAATTTGATCCTTCGCCGCGGCTTGCCTTTTCTTCCGCTGCTTAGTGGGTCTCAAATCATGTACCATTGGTTGGTAATCCCTCAGAAAGGCTCTCCTATCCCTTGCTATCATGTGATAAGTAGGATCTTGCCTACGTGCTTTGCGCGTATCCACTGGTGGAGATGGTACATCTAATTCCAGTGCATGTCGCACTTCCTCTGAAGTTGAATTGTCCGAGGATTGCGTTTTCTCGGCCTTTCCCTTTCGAGATCTCGCCTTCTTCGCTGGTGGCTTCTGTGGCTCCGTAGTCACATTACCTCCGGATGCACCTATACCCGAGTCAAACAACTTCTTACGTTTTTGTTTAGTCAGAGTTGGTACCGGTTGTCTCGGCGTGATCACAGTTACGTCAGAGTCCACAGATGATGCCGGGGGTGTTTTCTGCTTTCCATCGCCTACAGTAAACCAATTTACTTTTGCAGCCTTAGCTACATTCGCTGCCCTATTGTTTCCTTTCGTCATAATATCGATAGCGTATTATAACCTTAAACATATGTAAAAGTCGGTCTCCTCTAGACGGACTATACAAAACCAATACGTTTACGTTAATAGGACAATACGTTACAACGTTAATATGCAAAATGTTAAAAATATGTTTAGCTTCAGCCCTTGGTAGTGAGAAAAAGATTAGGGGATTTAGACTCTGACTATTGTCTATATGCTCCGCTCTAATCACTCACTACTTCGGTCTAGATTTATTTATGATTTAGCTACTAAGACTAGATATCATTTCATTGGACGCATATTTTACATTTCACGCCTCGAAACAATTATCTACTCAAACTAACCAATAATATATCTCTCTAAGTCCACCTTACGAAAATAAAAACTAAAATCAAAACACCACGTCGGAGCAGTATACATCTGCACCTAAACCCCATCACTTAGTACCTAGCTCCCCATCCCATTTAAGGCATAGACGGGCACATCTAGTTGGCTGGCTAGGAGGAATCAAAACCAGGTTGTCCTAAATTCTAACAACTCTGATCCTGTCCTTTTCTCAGTGGATTATCTTGCTCTGAGATTATTGTCGAATTA